TGTGTCCCCTCCTCAGATGCTGGATTAACTATTTGACTGTCATCTGTGGCCCCTTCTCCCGGATCTGGAGTGGCGACAAGTTGCAATGGTTAAAACTGCAAACGACATTGAGTCAGCCGAGTGACCCGCCGCGCAGGGAGGAGGAGGAGGCAGTTGTTCCACAGCTAAAGGTGGGGGGGGGAAAGGGATCACAACCCCTGTTGTGTCTTTTGCTGATAGGAGAGACAGTGCCAGTGCCGCTGTCACTGCCAGTGCTGCTGTTGCTGTCATCTGCGCAGGCGCCATAGAAGAGGGAGAGAGGAACCAGTGGGGGGTGCAACATTAGCTGGAACAAATGCTCGCTGGCAGGCGCTGACAATGGCAGGGCGTGTGACCAGTACATCTGCGCAGGCTCCATAGCTGATGACAAGGGAGCTGATGGAGCGGTCGGTCCGGCTGCGGAGCCTGACAATGACAGAGGTGGTTCCACCCTCACTCACGGTGCAGGAGGGGGAATCAGCGGTGGGGGCAGTAGCTCCTGCCGGCTGTAAAAGAGTCGGTACCCGGCTCACTGCAGAGGGGGGGAAATCGGGGCTGGCAGGCAGGGCCAAGCAGCTTGTGGAGCAGTGAAAGGCAGCCTCACTGGGCAGGGCGAGGCTGGCCAAAACAAAGACATGTCTGCTGCTTCCCGCGTAGAAGAGATGGGCATCGCCGGTGGCTGGAGCGGATCCAACTGTCGCAGAGGGTCGCCAGCCGCTCTTTGCGGAGCAGGGAAAGCCCGATCTGCTGGCTGTGGCAGTGACACTCCCAGCACCACCTGCAGTGCCGGAGGGGCCGAAAGTGGCACAAATGGAGACGGGCCATCCCCCAGGCGCAGCCGGAACGCGGCTATAGCACTCAGTGGTGGTAGCTTTGCAGGAGAAGGATATGTTGGCTTCACAGAATCATAGGGATGAGGATATTTTGGCGGAACATAATCTGTAGGCAAGAGATAGGTTCTGTGGGGGGCTCCCATGTCTCCCGCGTGTTCGCGTGGAGCCAGGGAAAAGCTGGCAACTGCCCGGCCCGCCTGTCCAGCCCCTGGGGTGTCAGTGCCCACAGAGACAACATCTTTGCCCTCCGAGGTCCCCATTTCCGCTTTGCTTTCCCTCGGGATCAGGCCTTGCAAGGCTCTGGACAGGACTCCACACACAGGTATTAATCGAGCCACAGTCGTATCTCCACTAGCAACCTCTTCCCACAGATGATAGCCTAATTCATTCCACGTCTGTGGACTAAAAGCAGTGTCCACATCTACTGGAAAATGAGATTTGGCTCGGGGAAGCAGACTGCAAAGTGAGTCATCCAACACAGAAATTCCAATAAAAGGAATCATGTCTCTGCACACAGAAATAACGGCATGTTCTTCTGTAGAGAGGTGACTTCCCATCGTGAAGGCACCGTCCCCAACCTCCAGCATGACTACCTTGGGGTACTGACTGCTTTGCTGGGGAACTCGTTCCCGCCCTAGCTTTTAAGCCATTAAGGCCAAATCCGCAGTCCCAAAGGGATGAGTCCTCGTCAGAAAGATGCAGGGAAAGGACACTGTTACCTCTCTGGGGGAACAGAGGGTGTCCAGTTGCGAGCAGACTGCGCAGGTGCTGCGAGGTCCTGCCGGGGGTCTGATGCATTTCTGCCTGTCCCATGATCCACGAAGGGTTGATAGATGCAATTCCACGGCGTGGTCACAAGATGTCATTGTTGAGTCAGAGATGACACAGAGTCATATCAGAAGGCAAATGGCAAAAGCCCCATTTATTTGATCCTCTCTTATTTTATGCCTTAGTTCCCTACATGTGGACCTGATTGGTCATTTAATCAATACATTTCACATGATTGGCCAATTAAGAAGACATCCATTGTCCTAGGGAGACTTTATGATGCTTGTATGCCCAGTCGTGTTTCTGTTTATGCTGGATATTCTATTCTGTGCCTTCAAGACTGGCTCTCAGAGCAAAGGCGGGGAGAAGAAGCACTGAGTTTTTTGTTATCAGCCTCACTCGCTCACTCCTCCACATTCTGCTGGACTGTGTTGTCTGGGCACGGACGGGACAGAACACAGCACTCCTTTGCTTTTTAGTTAGTTTAGTTAGCTGAAGCAGAGAAGTTTCCCTGGACTGTTTTCTTTCCCTTTTCTTATGGAACTGTTCGAACCTTCTCCGGACTGGGACCTGGGGAAACACTGAGAGCTTGCATTTTGTGGCCTACCAGGGCCTACTCTGCAGCCTTTCCCAGCGCTGGACGGACTGATATCAGAGCAACCACCCACCGGAGAGATTTTCTGAATTTGTCATCTCTTCAGAGTGACGAATGAGCTTTGTCATCTGGTATTGTTCATTTTTTGTGCTGGGGAGTGCTTTGCCTGTTTAAATCAACAGGTTTTTTCCACCTCTCTCCGAGGAAATTCTTTCCCAAACTGGTTGGGGGAGGGGCCGTGTGTGTTGGTTTTCTGGGGGGACCCCTGTTGGAGGGTTTCTCCCAAATTTGCCCTAAACCAGGACACCCATCTGTAAACAACTTTATGAGAAAAACAGCAAAACAGATTGTTAAAAAACACCACCTGCAGATTGTTTTAATATTTGAATATAATTGTTCATCTCCAGCTTCCTAAAGCTTCCCAGGCCGATTCATGGGAACGCTTCTCTAGCTTTCTCTCTCTCTGACCAGGCTGTCACATCCACAGGGGAAGATGGATTTCTCCAGCCTTTTATCCCCTTTTCCTCCTTCAGGCCTGGTAGAACAGCTTTTGAGAATTTTGAATTCCCTTTAGATTTTAGGGAAAGCATGTTCTTGTTGCTAAATCTGCCAGGTCTCCTCAGTGTGGTCCACACCATGTTTAGAGTCAAAGAAGAGATTTCTAGGAAGGTCATTCAGAGATCTGCCCAGAGGGTGTATAATCCTGACTGGCATGGAATGTGGGAGAAATTCAGCCACCTTTGAAGGACTATTCTGCTCCAAGGGCTTGGGAGTGTTCACCCCTGAACAGCTACAGGACCCTAATAAAGTGGCAGAATATTAAAAAAAAATAAATGCTGTGGAGACAGAGGAAAGTAGGCAGCTGAATACCTTATCTGGTCTCTCAGAGGACCCTTCTGCTCTTGGACTGCTCAGGGTTGAAGAAAAACACATACCAATCACTACCACAGTGCACTATTGACAATACCACACAACCGGGACTCTGTGACCCCCATCCATGAGATGATTCATGGAACTGAAGAGCCAGGGAGTGGTCAGAAAGACTCAGTCACCCCTTTACAGCCCCATACGGCCATCTCATAAGTCCAATGGAGAGTGGAGACTGACAGTAGACTGTTGTGACCTGAATGATGTCACACCACCACTGAGTGTTGCTGTTCTGGAAATGCCGGAACTTCAGTACAAACTTAAATCCAAGGCAACAAAGTGGTGCCACCATCAACATTGCTAATGCATTTTTCTCCATTCCTTTGGCAACAGAGTGCAGGCCACAGTTTGCTTTCACCAGGAGGGGCATCCAGTACAACTGGAACCAACTGCCTCAGGGCTCAAAACACAGCCCCACTATTTTCCATTGACTGATCCAGACTGCACTGGAAAAGGGGGAGGCTCTAAAACATTTGCAATATATGGATGACATCATCATGTGGGGCAACACAACAGAAGTTTCTGAGAAAGGGGAGAAGATAATGCAGGTTGTCCTGAAGGCTGGTTTTGCTCTAAAGCAAAATAAGGTTGTGAGAAATGATGGCTCGCTTTAAAAATTTTAAAAGGTTTATTAAACCTTAACAAAAAATACACCTAAAGGACTAAATAAGGAAAAACAGGCCTGGGATGGGCTGGGGATAGGGACGCCCCTGCCTTAGCTGCCAACCACGTGGGTTGCTCATCTTCAAGATGGATGCTCCGCCTTTTATACCCCTGGGGGATTGCATCAGGCAACCCTGGCCCCTCCCAAAGTCTGTCAGTCAACTCTTCTTTGCCATTTATTGGTGGAGGCTACTTTCTTCCAACTTGATTGGAAGTCAGGTGTTGTCATGCCACACCTCCAAGTAACAAGACTTCCCTCCTCCCAAATGCCCCATGCAAGGGTCACAGGTACATGCCCTCCTTCCACATGTCTTGACTACCAAGGCTGTCCCTTGGCAACCATATGGGGGGGGGAAGGGGACTATGGGGAGAACAGAGGACATCCAAACAACAAATCACAATAACATAACTATACATCAATAAAACTTCTCTTAACATACACATAATATTCATCCCTTAATTGCAAGAGCCAACCATCACATTACCCATCTATAACAGTAAGTATAACTTTTGATTAATTTTTTTTTCAGCCAGCACCATACTACATTTAACATTTCCAAGATATTACTGTAAACATTAAAATCCATCGTGGCATTCACATTCTTTGAAAAAATTCCTTCGCCCAGGATTTTTCTCCTGGGAAGCTGAGAAGCCTCAGAGAAAAGGAAAACAATTCTTATCTCATTTGTTTCTCCGCTGTTTTGCTCATGTGGAATATGTTTGGAGATTGTTTACCCACAGGTGATTGCCTCATTGGACTCTGGTGTGAATTGTTTGGACTCATTGGCCAATTGGGGCCAAGCTGTGTTGAGACTCTGGAAAGAGTCATGAGTTTTCATTATTATCTTTTTAGCATTCAGTAAGTATCCTTTCCGTATTCTTTAGTTAGTATAGTATAGTATTCTTTAATATAATATAGTATCATAAAGTAATAAATTAGCCTTCTGAGAACATGGAGTCAGATGCATCATTCCTGCCTTCATCGGGGCATTCCCTGCAAATACGATAACCCATAGCAACCATTTTATGCAAAACAATTTTTAAAGGAATTTTATGCTAACTTCCTAAGAACTCCTTAACCATTTTAATCAACATGTCACCCAGCACTAAGGGTATATTTTAAATGCAAAGAAGTAATAGTACCTTGAATTTGTTGCAATAAATTCTGTATATGTTGCTTCTACTTATTTCAACAGGTGACTGAGCTAGAGTGCATGAGCAGTCAAGCCAATGAAGTCCACACTCATAAAACAGAATTAAACCAGACAATACAGGAGTTAGATTCTACACTGAAGAAAAAAGAAGAGGTATCTGCTAACATTTATTCTTGGATTTGTGCTACATAATTTCTAAAGGCTTTCAATATTAAATTTGTGATGACTGGTAAATACTGTATTATTTCATATAGATGTTACAAAGTAAAATCCATTTTTCAGCTTCTTTGGAAAGATTAATATTTTTTTTCTGTGTATTATAATTACATTAGTCCAGTATAGAGCTGGGTATCTGAACAACAAAAAAAAAAAAGTATAATTTTTTTCATGTTTGCTTTTACCAAGCATCTCTCTTTGCAAAATTAGGTCTGCAGTTGAAGCATGTGTAGTTTCTACAGAGCAGTCATCACAGTGATGCAGTCCAAATTCACTTAGAAGGGAAGCAGTCATTGCACACTTTACTTTTTCTGGAGAGCAAGGTTTGGAGCAAGTAATTGATCAATGACTTTTCAGGCCAATTTGTTTTTCAGGCTATGTTAATATAGATGAATTTCATGATACTCAAGATCAGCCCTTTTCTTAAACACATGCCAAAAACCCCAGCCTGTAACTTATTAGTTATTGGGCCATCTGCCTTGAGCTTGACCAGCAGCATGGAAATACAAGGAATTGGAGTAACACCTGCTCTGGCATGGGTCTCAAAGGAAAGCATATTTGTGCTGCAGAACGATCGATCAAGACTCACCCCTTTATGTATGGGAAAAAGGAAGTGCAAGGAGCCATGTATGAAGGATTGTTTGCCCTCTGTAGGACCAGACCCCTTGAGCCCTCTGAACAGACACAGTAGACACAGTGTGCACTGGTGTGCATGTTCAGAGGAGCAGTGTATCTTGCAGGGTATTGCTTCCTGTGGGGCTGTTGATAGGTTTTTCTGAGGAGGATGCATGAGACGATGCAACAGTTACAGAATATCCTCCCAAAACGGACCAAAGTCTTTTCCAAACTACCTCATACTTAAGAGATTAGCCCCAGGTTGGTAATGTTTCCCATTTTGGTGTCCCTGTGCTTTTGAATTATGCTGGGCTGTTGGATGCAAAGAGATCTTTCTGAAAGGAGTTCTGTGAGGTGACTATGTCCTTTTTGGGAAAAGTATGTACTAGTTTTAAATTTGATATCTTTTAGGTTCATTAGCTATTTTTATTCTTGTGTGTTGAAAGCAAGCTAAGAACAGGTTTCTCTTCCATTCATTATTTTATCTATATTTTTTTATGCTTTAATATTTTCTTCTTGTTAAATTAAAGAAACTTTTCCTTTTAGATTCTCTTTTTACAGATATCAATGGTCAAAGCAGGCAATCTTTTGATGGTCAGCCCTGCTGTTAGTGACATAATAAGCAGCTCAAAGGTGAAAACTGTATTTTTCTCTTGATAAAATGGAGAATAGTTTATAATAGAATTTAAAGTATAAAATTGTTTCTCTAATTGCAAGGACTCAATTTTCTAGGAAAACATTATTTCAGATCTTTTCTGTGGGAGAGAATGACTTGTACTTTTATAGCAAAGAAAATACTTATCTGTATTGTTTATTCAGAACAGAATTGCTGTTTTGGGACTGTGATTTAGGAATATTGGAAGCAATGCTTAAACTTCATGCACTATGATGGGCAGTATCTAACTGCCAGTTTTTACATCATTGCAATAGCTTGCTCAGGAGAAGAAGCAGCAGCCAGTTTACCTGCACTGAGTCCAAGTTAGATAATGTGTTGCTAGCAAGGTTGTTTCTTCTCTCTTAGGAAATAGAAAGATTGAAACAAGAAGTCGACAGTGCCAGAGAGCTCCAGGCACAGAGGAATTCTCTGATCCAAAAGTTACAGGTGAGCTATAGTGTATCATCTTAATTTAGACAGAAGGGAAAAATTATCAAGTGAGCAGTTCACATCAGCAACTTGTCCTATATTCACTGAAGGTGCCAAATAAATATGTAAGTTACATTGTGTTGCAAAGTGGTGGGTCAGGATGCTCCTAGGGAATTTCTACCAAAATTTCCACCTGCTGTAATTCATCATTTTTTTCTGAGGAAATGGACCCAAATTTCATTTACAAGTCCACAGAATATGCTCAATGTGCTTCATTGATGCATGTTCTAGGCCATAGTGGTCTCATTTTCACTGCAGTGTCTTCCCATAGGTCTTGTGTGTCACTGAACTATCAGGCTGTGCCATCATCATGTTGAGATGAGTTTGTATTCAGCTTTTAAATGTGCTTTGGAAAGTAAAGGTTAAAACATTCTTATGTAGTAAAGACTTCAGAAACACACTCTAAAATTTTCTTGGAATTAGAATAATTGTGGGTTTATTGTTTTTTCTGGGTTGTTTCTATACTGTGCATAAAGCCAGATACCTCAGTCTACTAAAAGCAGTATGCCCCCTTTGGCATGCTCTCACTTGCTACATTTGAGCTCCCGTCCTTCTGTCACTGGCCTGACCAGCCAGCACAGACACACCTCTGTTGTGAAACCTGTGTTCTGGATGAGGCTGACCCAAAGCTTAACTGGGTTTAAACTCTGAATTCGGACTTCCGAGCTTTGATAGGACTGGAAACTCAGGCCTTAAATAGCTCCAAATCCAAAGTGCTGAAAGGTGACCCTTGCTGTTCTGCAGCTTATCCTAAATCACACTGAAAACAAGCCCTGTCAGATTACCCACACCTTAAAAATCGTTGAGCAGATATTCTTTGAAATGTATTGCATTAATTGGAACTTCCTTGAATCTCATTTTCTCATTTTAACAACAGAATAAACAATATAAGAACAAAATTAGTTTATTCATTTTCCCCCATTCTTAAGTCAAATTATTTGGGAAAAGTATGTTATTATAGTGCTTTTTAAAGAATGTTGTGATTACACCTGAGCTCACCTAATCCACTATTCCAAAAATTGTTGCTGGCTTTAGACTAAGCATAGGAGTTTTCAGATGAAAAGGAACTCATCTGAGATACTCAAAAGGAAGATTATAATGAAAGTTGTGAATTATTCTAGCATTAGCACATGCAATAATTTCAGTGTAAGACTACATGAAAAGTAATAATGAGCTGAGAATTAGCTATCCTTAGAATTATGAGAGACTAGTAAGAGATGAAAGATGTTTTAGAATTAGAAAATGCTAAGGTTTTATCATAAATTGCACTTTAAATAGTCAGTCGCTTCCTTTTTTGTATATTTATTTCTTTAGTAACCAAATGGATATGTTATTTTTATATTTCTTTATGTCACATTGTAGGTGATCAGTTTCTGAAAATGGTTCTATATGATTCTATTAAAATAAATTTATAGCTGTCTTAGGATCCAAGTTAGAAGTCGTCTTTCTTCAGCTTAAAGCTTATTACTGACCTGATGCAGCCCATCTAAAAGATCTTGAATTCTTGCTTTGATAATACTGGCATTCCCTAAGCCACTTCACCCTACATCTGTGACATTGAAAAAATGGTGTATTCTTCTGTAGCTCCAGACTAACCATCTCATAACTGTTCACTTAGTTGATTCATCATCCATTTTCAGGGTGATCGTCTCTAAAGTCCATATCTGTTCATCTCACTCTTTTTCCTTCTGCTTTATTTTTTTTCTTGTGTTTGCAAATGGATTACGTAACTCTAAAATATTTTTAATATAGACTGTATGAAAAACTCTATGCAAATAAATTATTATTTCTAGGTGTGTTAGATTTTTGACACACTCATATCAGGGAATTAATTGGAAATCCATCTTTGACAAATTCCGGTGCTATCACTGTGAAGGGTATTAGGACCCTTTTACTTAATAATTTCATTAGCAATCTAGAGAAGACTTATTAATGAGTCATCATCAGTGTGATTCTCACAGTAAGTCAGGATATCTTTATTACTGTAGTTGATTCCTAAATATAGCTGTTGTGTATGATTTGAATATTTTATTTGTATGCTTGCACTGAATTGCACAAAATATTATTACAGTGCAAACAACAAACGTGTTAATAGTTTTTCTGAAACAAAACAGTGTATGACAAATGACTGTCCCTGATGTAAGAAGTTTGAAAAAACAGTGTAAATTAAACCTTATAAAGGGCCTGAATGTATCACAAGAATTAGTTTATTGTTAGATGAGATTAATTGCAAATAAAGTTAAATGACACAACTAAGGCAATAGATTATATCATATGGACATGTCTCCACTTCCCATCAAGAAGAAACAATTTTGAGGTACACTGACTTGTTATAGGAAACTGGACATGAACTTGTAATGCAATACTATTGAAAAAACCAGTAATACTAATCTACAGTAAGCACGTATAAGGATCAAATGTAAAATTTGGGAAGAAGTGTTTTCCAGAAATCAAAACCAACAGATCATGGCGCATTTCACTTAGTTTTGCTTCCCATAAGTTGTTAAAGATGTTAAGTACAGATTAGGGAAAATAAAACAGAAGGAAGTATGGGAGAAAGTATATCTGAGGAAGCATTTGGGGAAGGTAAATGTATATGGATTAGGAAAGAGATATCAAGAATGGAATATAAATAAAGTACACAAGCTGGAAGTTTAAACAAAGTAATGGAACTCTTCTGATTTGAAGAGAGGACTAGCAATGGAGAGTTAAAGGGAAACACCTTATACTGAATATGGATAGAAATTCATACATCTTACATAAAGCTTTTGGTTTTACCTAACAGCTCACTGCAGAACAATTACTCCGTTTAAAGAGCATCTGAAGTGAGCCTAAAAGATAATGTTCAGTGCTAGGTACAGGCCAATGGGCTACTCTTCAGTCCCAGATCTCATGAAACAAAATCATACAGAATCATAGAATGGTTTGGGTTGGAAGGGACCTTAAATATCACACACAGAATCACACAGAATCACTAGATTGGAGGAAACCTTCAAGGTCATTGAGTCCAACCCATGCCCTAACACCTCAACTAAACCATGGCACCAAGTGCCACATCAAGTCTTTTTTTAAACACATCCAGGGATGGTGACTCCACCACATCCCCAGGCAGACCATTCCAGTACTTTATCACCCTTTCTGCAAAAAACTTTTTCCTAATGTCCAACCTATATTTCCCTTGGCACAGCTTAAGACTGTGTCCTCTCGTTCTGTCAGTTGCTGCCTGGAGAAAGAGACCAACCCCCACCTGACTACAACCACCTTTCAGGAAGTTGTAGAGTGATAAGGTCACCTCTGAGTCTCCTTTTCTCCAGGCTAAACAACCCCAGCTCCCTCAGTCGTTCTTCATAGGGCTTGTGTTCCAAGCCCCTCACCAGCCTTGTTACCCTCCTCTGAATGCATTCAAGCGTCTCAACATCCTTCCTAAACTGAGGGGCCCAGAACTGGACACAGTATTCAAGATGTGGCCTCACCAGTGCCAAGTACAGTCATATCAGCTAGTTCCAACCTCCCTAACATGGACAGGGACACCTTCCACTAGATCAGGTTGTTCAGAGCTCCATCCAACCTGGCCTTGAACACCTCCAGGGATGGGGCATCCACAACTTCTCTGGGCAACCTGTTCCAGTGCCTCACCACCCTCCCAGCAAAGAATTTCTTCCTGATATCCAATCTAACCCTACCCTCTGTCAGTTTAAAGCCATTCCCCCTTGTCCCACACATACCCTTGCAAAAAGTCCCTCTCTAGCTTTCTTGTAGGCCCCCCCTTTAGGTACTCGAAGGCTGCTAGAAGATCTCCCCAGAGAGAGGAGACAATGGGTTTTTTTCCCAAGTGATCCCTTCCATCACTGGCGTGCCTACTTGTGGGAGGATGGATTGTGAAAGAATAGGGATAGTACTGAAGGCAATCTCCCCTGATGAATTGCAGCTGTACTGATTGCCAAAGAGCGGGAACAGCCCTGGTCTTAATGAAGTCACAGTCTATGTCCAATGAGAATGGGTGTTATAAAAGAGTGGGTTAGCTGGGTGCAAGTTATTTGGAGTCTGCTGGCTGTGGTGTGAGGAGGAAGGGTCAAGTGGTCATGCAAGGGACAGATAGGGTAAGATGGTATATGAGGGCCAAACAGGGTTAGGCAGTCGTGTAAGGGATGGGAAGGAGTTGGCCGGTCCTGCAGAGGGAAGGGTACAGAGAAGGAGTCTATGTTGTATGGAGCTGCCTGTAGGAAAGGGTACAGAGAAAAGGTATGAAGGTTTTTACTATAGGATAGCTGACTGCCAGTAGCAGTCAGTCTGAATCCACCATCACCTACTTACAAAAATCAGTTATTTCTGGGATAAGAGCAGTGTCAAGGACACTTCCTAGAGCACATGCATTTGGTGAGTAGAGGAGGAGCAGTTACAAGAGAAGCAGGAAGCATGAACTAATGGGGAAAACCAGCAATTAGTTTGGTGTGATCTAAAGAAACAACTGTGTCATTCCTGCAGAGCTGAGAGGGCTCTGAATTTCCCTTTTCTTCCTGTACTGTAGTCACTCAGTCTCAGAGGGTCTTGAACCAGTCATTTATACCTGGTAGTACTTGTCAGTATTATTTGGCAGGCAGGAGTAGACACAATGAAGGAGAGTCTGCAGAGTGTATGAACTGGGTTATGATTAGTTAGCTTATTTGTCTATAGCAACAGTGGGGTAGTTAGTCCTTACATAAGCGTGTATGTATTTTAATTTATCTTGTTTCTACAAATGCTTTTTTCAGTTACCTTCCTTAAATGCTTTAGCACCTATATTACAGTGTTAAACAGATTAAAGTAATTCTTCTCTTGATCCTGGCAGCAAGGGATGGTTCCTGCTCTCATCTGGGCTGTCCAAGACGAGTGGCCAAAAATCTGTAATTTTTGGCTATTTGCTCATTTGCAAACAAGAAGTAAGGGAGGTATTCCATTTCAGCTTGGATGTAACCCTTGACTGCTGAAGCAACTGCAGCTATGAGGAGATCAGGTCCCTGAGGCTCTGCCGTCTCCACCTACACTGCCACTGGATGTTTCCCCCTTCAGAGACTGGGAGCTGACACCCATCTGTCCTCTGGCCAGGGGTGCAGCTGCCATCACACGCCTCACAGATAGAAAGGCCACAGATTTTGACACAAAGCTGCCATTTTATGCCTGTTACCTTTGACTGCCCAAATACATATTCTATATGGCTCAGGTTGTTTCTTATGGTTAGCTGAGATCTCCTCAATGTAAACATTAATGTATTCATTAGCTTTGAGGGAGACAGAAAAATCATTAAAAAAATAGTGGAAGGACAGAAAGAAAGCTCGTGCTGGAGGAATGACTGCTGTCAAATTGTCCAACCTATGGCTAAGTGAAACTAGTTGCTGTAAAAACTCAGAGCAGGCCCGTTGTGGCTTTGTGACCCAAAGCCACTGTAAAGGATAGTGGTGTTTAAAAATGTTAATGTATGTAAATATAAATTCATTATGCATATTTCCAGAAAATGACTGTGCAAGGGTCCATGATGTACTAAATATACTGTCCCTGTGAGAGTGTTTTTCATAACTGAAATTATTAAATTCAGCATGAATTTGAGACTAATAACAACAATATGCTATTCCAGACCCACATGGCTGCTACATTAGTAATTTGATAAAAGACTGTTTTGCACAAAGCAGAGAGAAGCTTCAAGCTCCCTCCCATCATGTGGAAGCCAACGTAGTTAGGAGTCCCTGGAGGTAGTTCTCCCTTCCTACTGGCTGGTTTAAGTGGGCTTTTCTTCGTTATGAATGAGAGCTGAGGTTGCTTAGAGTCAGATCCCCTCCCCTCAGCTATGTGTAACATGATGCTACTTCGCCTTTCCACCCACTGAATGGGAGCAGCTTGTCTGTACAGCTCTGGTGGCTTGTGTGCTTTCCCTGCTCCTACAGTTGCACTACTGCAGAGCTTGCACATGGGAGCTCTGAGGTACAGTACGAGACAAGACATTCAGCTTGCACTTGCTGCTTTAAATTTGCTACAATCAATTTCACTTTGATATCAGTCTTGGTAGTTTATGTTTCTGTCTTAATTTTCAGAGTGAAAAAGCCTGTACTGTGGGACAGGAGTAAGGCAGTATTCCTGCATCTATAAAGCAGTATTCTTCATGAGCTTCTATATGAGACCATTTAATGAGGACTGTACTTGAGCAATTGATGTAGTCTAAATAAGGGAATACTTGAACTTAGGTAAACCTTTGAGAAGCTTTTTTTAGTAGGTGGCATGTTTCTGAATGATAGAATTGATAGCTGAGTATCATCACATCCATTTTGCACTGACTAAATTTTATCCCTGTTCAAAAGTTTCTGTCCTTCAGGTGAATTGCTGAAAAAATTGAGAACATGATAGCACGTATACAATCTTAATAACAATTTGGATTCTGATTTTGTCTTAGTGAAACTGTAAAGGATCTCAGTCACAAATTGTTTCAAAAGCCAGTTGACAAAAATAACACGTGAATACCAGCAGGAGGTTGTACTCTTTTCTGTTTGCAAACAACACATTAACTTTTTATGTATTTTCTCTGAAGGAAGTAGAAATTCGAAACAAAGACCTGGAAGGCCAGCGGTCTGATCTAGAGCAACGTCTGGAGAAAAGTCAGAATGAGCAAGAAGCTTTTCGTAATAGCTTGAAGACACTTTTAGAAATTCTTGATGGAAAAATATTTGAACTAACAGAATTACGAGATAATTTGGCAAAGCTAACAGAATGCAGCTAAAGAAAATGGGATTTCAGTGCCAATCAGGTTAAAGATGCACTGTCTTTTTCGTAGGAGTGATGGGCTCTGCATCAAAATTACACAAAATTAGAAAATGGTCCTCTGAGAGGGCTTGTTTTAAATTTGAGTCATACTTCAATGTAAGATTTAGAACTCAGTTTGTAGTTAGTTGAAGAAAAAAACTTGAATTACAAATTACCTCCTTGTACATTATTTGCCATAGATAACATAAAAGATATTAACAGTAACTGAATGCAATCAATTTCTAAGTATCAGTGATGGAAGAATTAGCAGAGTACCAGGTCACACCTCCTTTTTGTGATAGGCACAGTATAGGTTATCTGCTGTTTTATTTATTAAAGATATTTAATTGCTGTGTTTTGTGCAAGAACTTAGTGATGACAGCCCTGTATTTTATTGTTCTTAAAAATTTCTCAGGATACTTTACACTGTGGATCAGCAATGCCATTACCAATTTATTCTTGCCAGGAGTGAGAGAGAGCTGCATCTTTAATTGAAAAAAATTACTGTAACTGCTTGAATAAAGTTCTTCTTTATGAGGTTTTTTGGTTAGCTAGTTGGTTGGTTGGTTGGTTGGTTTTTTCTTGGGTTTTTCTTGTTTATATACTTGCTTATATATATGCTGGAAGATACTGTATTTCTTTATGGAGCTTACTTTGGTGTTCTGCAATATTATCCAATGTAAGGTTTACTTTTTCATATGAATTCTATGTAATTACAATGAGATACTATCTTCCACTGAACTATATTTTGAAGCCAACCAATGATGTCAGGTGAGGCCCCCAGGAAAAAAAAGTCAAAAACCCCTGAGAATTCTAAATATAAAATTTGACATGCACAGATAAAAAAAAAAATAGGCAGTTGTTTGTTTTCTCCAAGAGACTTTTTCAGCATGTCACATGAATTTCAGGTTTTGTGAATAATAACTTGTAGGGAGCATTGTTTATTACAGATTGCATTAAGGGCACAGATCTATTGCAAGGGATTACTCGTACACTGAACTTATCCAGGCAAGAAAACTGTTTCTAGAAGTTGTATTGTCATAACAAAATGAAATAGAGATGCATTAACTCTTTTATGGGCCTTCATATCACATCTTTATTGAAACTACACCAGTGAATATTCTGAACTGTTAACTAAATGTTTAAAAGCAGGAAATAAATTCTCCTCAGTGAGCAGGTTTTAAAGGTCTTTTGATGTAATTTGAACAGTTTTGACAAACATGCATTTCTTTATATAATAGATTTCTTTAAAAAAAAAAACAAAACACTTTGAAAGGTAGGCCAGGTCTCATGTTCCTTGCATCAAAGTACTTTCTTGACATAAATTGCTTATAATGTTGAAGAGGGCTTTTTAAAAATGTATGAATGACTGTCAGGGAACAAAGTCAAAAGATGCATTTATCTTTGCTCCCTAAATTTATTTGAAGGTTAAACATGAAATCTAGTTGCTTATTAAATTTATACAACACAATTTTCTCCACTTAGAGATTGCTATTTAAAACTAGAAAATATACGTTTGTCTTTATGTATGTACTGTGTGTAAATACCATATAATGGACACAAGTTCTCATATCAGAAATACATGCTTTATTTCTAAAATAGTGGGGTTTTTTTCTTTACCAGTAATTTATGAGGTGTCCTCTGACTAGTCAGGAAAATGGTTTACGGCAAACGCTAAACCATGATGTATTATACTGTATGTAATGTACACAATGTTTAAGTTTTCTTCATATTTTTAGGGTATTTTCTCAACTACTTTATTTATTAAAGGGGTGGGGGAGCTTGGTTCATTGTTGAAAACTTTGTGGTGAGCTACATGTTTTTAATTTGATGGATTTTAGATGGTGGTCCAGATGAGCAGATACAACCAGTTTTTAATTTACATGGGGATGTTTGGGCCTGATTCTCCTGTCACTTGCACTACTGTAAAAGAGATGTGTCCTTGAAGTGATATCAGCAACATTCAGCTGGTATAACAGCTGTGAAAGTACAAGGAGAATCTGTCCTTTTAATTCTCAGTGGACACAATAAGGATGAAGAAGGAATAAAACTACAGAAAGTTGATGACAGAATAAATGTAATATTATGTTTAATGATGATATTATTTCAATATTTAAATATATGTTGTCATTTACATGGGGGAAAATACTGGACAGAAACATTTCACTTAAATTTTGTGAATATGTGTGGGGCATTAGTATTTCTATGTATACATACAAATGCATGTATATACAGAACATGGAAAATTTTAGATGGGCACATTTTTAATATTTTCCTAATGAAATTAAATTTAAAATTGGAAATTGATATTTGAGAATTTATTTTCTCAATAGATATGCTTCCTTTTCTTTTCTAAAATAATACAGTTATTGAGGACTGCACCTTTGATTTCCCAAATAGCTGTCAAACATAAACATGGGATAAGGTGGACATATGTGTGCATATAAATAAAATCCTATTGCTAAGAATATTTTTAATGCTTATTAAAGGTGAGTATTTAGAAATTGCAATCCAAAGTTCATACTTAGGTGGCTATACCTAATGTATCCTCTCCACTTCTCATTTAAGATAAAAGTTTGCGTGTTTGAAACATTTCCCAGAGATGGATATTGTGCATTTTATTTACTTTTGCTGAAACTATGGGAATATGTATACTAGAAAACAGTGTTGAGTGCTATAGCCTGAAAACATGACTGTGAACTTGTACAGGAGGGAAAAGCAGTCACATCATGTGCAACTTGTTAAATGGCAACTACAGTCACGTAAAAATAAAATAATTACTAAAAAACTAACAGAAATAAAAAAAATCAAAAATACACTTTTTACCTTGCTGTTCTCTGGAGAATGTACTTTTACTCTGTATTGTGATTTATTCATAATCCATATGCCTCAAAGATCCGGAAATTTTATTTTTCTATGTGGAGTAAGTAAAACATGTTAATTAATGTTTTTCTTACAAACTGGAGAATTCCTTTCCCTGCCTAATATATCCAGGAAAGAGGAGAACAAAATGGACTGAAAATGCTGTTAGAAGATCTCTTAGAAAATAATTTTTCAGGCATAATAAATATATAAAGTGCTAAACCAGATGGTCTCAGGTTGAAATGCGCAGCTGGGTGTGTATTCTATTGCCATCTGTTAGAGGTGGGGCAGTTATCTTCTGTTAATTGGGCAGGTTTCTTAATCTCTTCCACAAACCAATCCTCCCTCCAGGGAAATATCGTCTGTTAATGAGTCATTGAGTGTCACTGCATGACTGATAAAAATTACATCATCCCATTGTGAGATGCTCTGCCCAGAGGGAGGAACCAAGCATTCCTACCTGGATATAATCTGAGATTTGGAACACCACAGGCAGCCTTTTCCCAATGGATTCCCAGAGGAGCAGCTGTCTTCTCCACTGGATTCCCAGAGGAAGACCAGGCCCATCTACACCACCACTGGACCTTCAGAGGAAAACTACATCCTTCTACAGGGTCACTGCTTCAACAGAACCACATCTGTCACTCCAGGAGCACTGCAGCCACCATTTAATTGAGCTGCTACCAACATCCTGACCAACATGGTGTCAGGTTGTATTCTGACTCTCTCAGTGGTTTGTTTTCTTTTTTGTACTATTGCATTTGTATTTTTAATTTTCCTAGTAAAGAACTGTTATTCCTATTCCCATATCTTTGCCTGAGAGCACTTTAATTTCAAAATTATAATAATTTGGAGGGAGGGGGTTTACATTTTCCATTTAGAGGAAGGCTCCTGCCATCCTTAGCACACACCTGTCTTTTAAAACCAAGACAAATTTTGGTGCCCAACATGAGGCACGAGGACATTGAGAGAAAAAGGGTGAAAAAAGGAATAACAGTTCTTGACCAACCTAATTTTTTGTGTGCTGGATATAGAAACCACATTAAGTGTCACCATGTGGTTCAGCTTACCCTGGTTCAGGTGGCATGTGGTTGTGGCTATATTTCTCCCATTTGCAGGCCCTTATCTAAACATGGATCGTATAACTAAGGCTACTGTGGCTGTTATCCAGTTTGCTTTATGGGTTTATAAGGTATGAAATTCATGGATTTTTAACTTCCTCTGGAAGGCAGGCAAATGGATTAAGAGCTATTACACACTAACTGTATGTTTTTGGGGTTACTTTAATAATGATACCTACTGTGAAGAAATGACACCAGGGGAAATTTTCTCCCAACCCTTTGACCATCTCTTTGGGTCTGCCCCACTAGATTTTGCAGGATTCAAATCTTCTCTAAATACTAATGATACCATATGACAGTTGGTGTTGCTGATAGGCCTGTTAAGCCTGTTCTATTTAGCATTCAGAGATAAGGGAAGATTGACTTGGATAACCACCCTGATACCTACCCTAGAAAGTAGGGATGCTTCCACAGAACCTGACACTGCCCTGGGCACTAGGAATGCTGCCCCAGAGTGTGACCCAGCCCCACAGCCTACCTCAGAAATGAACCCCCTAGAATGGGTGGGGGTTCTGGTGAAGGAGACACGTGAGATGAGCCAGATGCTGAAGGAGTCCATTTTGCCAGCTGGTGAGAAGCCCTCCCCCTGCCTCAGAGGGAGAGTCTAATGGTGCAGCAGTGGAACCCACAGACGTTACAACTGTCCAGGTTCCAGCTGAATCACAGGGGCAGTCACGGCCAGCAGCAGTCGCCCCTGTGGAAACAAGGAGATCTAAGATGAAATCAGAGCATCCAGATAACAAGGATAAGAAAGGAGGGCCCTCACAACCTGCAGGGGACCCAACAGTTGAGAGCATCACTGAGTCCCTGACATACAAAAGTCTCTGTAATCTGCACAAAGACATTGTATGACAAGGATGTGAGGCTTATACAACCTGCTTACTCTGGGTCTGGGACCTAATGGGTACAGGTATGCAACTGGATGGTGGTGAGGCAAGGAATTTGGGAGCCTTGACCCAGGACTCAGGTGTGAATCAGGTATTTTTAAGGGAGCA